CAGACCGTGATCTTTCGATGGAGAGGCACGCTAAGAGCTTCGGAGACCAGGACACATCCCAGAGTCCACCTCTCCTGCAGTGACTCTGAAGAGCCACACCGAGCATCCCTGGGCCACCTCTCGCATCCTGGCACACGACTGAGGCCTCCTCAGATCCCAGGACCTCTCTCAAGGGCCCGCGGTGGTCCTCTTCACTAGTGTCCCTGGGCTGCTGCTTAACCATCACCTCTACCGGAAGCTACCCCTGACCCCGTAGTCTGACTGGGGTCACTGCACTGGACATTCCCACTGAGTGCTGCCCGACTTCAAGCCCCTCTGTGGACCTGGCATCATCGATTTGTTCCACCTCCCAGCCCGACTGTGAGCTGCGACTAGCTCCCCTGTATCCCTCGCCTCCCTGGGAAGGAAGGAGAAATAGCTCTGCCTCTGAGAGGGTCGTCACACTGGCCTCTCCCATCCCCAAGGACCCCTCTGCCTCCTCGTCTTTGCACCACCTGTGTTTCCAGCCTGTCTCTCGCGGGAGAGCGGCCCCTCCTCACACACGGCTAATGTCAGACTAGAGAAGACGAATGGCCCAGGGTTTCGCGACGAACTCTGTGACATGCTTTCATATGTTACCTCTTAAAAACCAATCAGTAAATGTTTCTGATTATATCTTTTAAAAAAAATGTTAATTTTTTTCTGGGTGTAAAAGAAACATGTACCCATTGTGGCAGATGTGGAGAATATAGAAAAAAAATGAACGAAAGAAATTCATTCAGTGGCCCTAGAACTCAGAGAGAACCGAGATGAGGGACACTGCATATTTTTGTACATACATATGTGTTCACCTCTATCACCAATTTTGTTCCTATTTCTAAAAGCTTCACTTAAAATTAACTCAGGCTAATATTTTTATTCTCACTTTAGTGCCAAATCAGGCATAAAAAGAAGCACCTGTTAGCTCTTGCTGATTGGCCTAAAATATTCCCTTCCCTCTTGAATTTCTGAGAAGCCTGAGGTTTGCTCGAGGCTAGCCTCGGGCAGTGTCCACAGTCCCTACTTTCTAGTTAATTAAGTACATGTTGAAAATGCCTTTTCAGGGCTGCCTGCCCTCTTTCCTTGGGAAAGCACAGTGTGATACGGGGTCCTCCTGGAAACCTTCGTCCTCAACCCAGGATACTGAGGCGAGAAAGGTGCAGGTTGGGACATGAGGTAGGGTCTTAAGAGAGGAGGGGGCCCACCCTCACCCCCAGCCCCAGTGACTCTGGCCTCAGGTTGTTGAGGGCACCGACCCAAGACCACCACTCTGTCCTCATTCTGGGCCCCGAAGATAGGGGAGGGTCTTTAGAGCAGCAGAACCAACTCTTCTTTGATCTGGCCATCTCACGGCTAGTCTGTTTCCACACACCCCCCGCCCCCTGCCCACAGGCCCTGTGGCCTTGCTGAGGCTGAGACGGATGAAGGGACAGCAGGATGAGAGCTGCAGCAGAGGCCCCCTTCGGCCCCTGAGCCCCCTGAGCCCTTGATGCACAGTCCTAGCAAGAACAGGGTCAGTGGGGCTATCATCCCTCCGCCTGGCCCGCTCTCAGAGAGAGCAGTGCAAAGGGTCCCCAGGGGGAGGCTGGCCACTCGAGGAAAGCACTGGGTGCAGCCTGACCTCTGGCTGCCACTCAAGGACTGCCTTCGGGCTGCCAGGCTGAAATGTCCGTGTGTGAGACCTCAGGGAAGGCAAACTTGCAAGACAAGGCCAGTGACCCCGTGCTCCGTCGCACAACGGGAACCCTCCTGCCCACCTGGTCACAGCGGGAAAAGGGTGATTGAGATGTGCCTGCAGACCAGTGGAGGGGTGTGTGCTGGTGGCAGGGGTCACTGGCCTGGGACCTCCCTGTCCCTTCATGCTGGTATTTGGCTCCATTTCTCTTCCTGGCCTGGGTCAAGCTTGTCAGCAGGGCCAGGGGCCTGGTGGATGAGGCAATTGAAGGTTGTGGCCCCTAAGCTTCAGGGCTGTGGGGCAAGGTGCTGCCCCTGCCCTAGCCTGGCCTCTGGGGACTGGAGAAGCTAGGACCTCTTCCTCTCTCACACCTCATTCCTCTGGGGGTGTTGGGGGGGGGGCAGCCCTCTCCTGCACCGTTGGCTGTGGGTCTGAGGTCACTGTCTGCCCATGCGAGTGTAAAGGTGTAGGGAAGGCTGTGTTCTTACAGCATCGGTCAAGACCAGCTGGTGGGGTCTCTGAGAAGGGAGGCTCTGCTTTGCTGAAATGTGTTCTGGAGGCTCTTTCAGGGCAGACACTGGCCTCTGGGCCCAGGCAGGGTGGCTCTGGCTTCCAGGGAGAGGGTATCTGCTCCCCTTTGTAGAGCAGGAGCAAAGTGGCCTGGGCGTGAAGGGAGGCCCCAGTGGGGCTGAGCACTGTGTGGGTGAAGGTGAGGCAGGGAGGCCCGGGTGGCACAGTGAACTGTGGTCCCCGAGTTGCGTGGGAAAGAGTGGCACTTAACAAAGGTTTTCAAAGACCGTGAGGCAAACCCTCCCTTCCAGCTCTCCTATGGGCTCTTCACGAAAATCTCAGACGCTCACAAGCATTTGAGGGAATGGATTCTTTCTGGTGGACATGGAAAGAGGCTAGAGCAAGATGGAAATGCAGACTGGAGGCCAGGCCATGGGAGCTGGAGGCCAGGGGCAGCTTGGGTCCCGGAGCGGACTGGAGGGCTCATCCTAGCCCCACGGGCATCTTCCAAAGCAGGTGGTCTCCTGCTCCCCTCATTGGGCTAGGATCCCAGAGCTAGGTCCCCAGAGAATTAGAAACAGGATGTTCTCCCTGCAGGCTGCTGGAGGCAGGGCTGGGCAGCTGCATGGGTGAGCCAGCTGGGAGACCAGCTCTTGCAGGAAGTCCCACCCAAAAAGCACCTACTATGGACACTCCAACGAACAGTAAATTGAATGCCAAATTCTAAGTGGAAGAGAGAAAAGAGAAATGCTGTATCTTACAGGGTTCGCTACTGAGTAAGCACAGCATCCTCTATGGCGGCAGGAACCCCCTCACTGTCTTCCTTCCTGGTGGCTCTGGTCTGGGTCATGGGTGCTCATCAGGAGCTGTATTTGCTGCCCTCAGTGATTAGCGTGGTGTCTGGCAGGACACAGTGGCTTAATAAACAGCCACTGATCGAATGAATGAGGGAATGAGGGAATGAATGAGCCAGTGGGTAAGTTCAGGTCTGGATCCAGGCACCATGCCTGCAAAAGTTTCCCATTCAGTGTCCCCTCACTGGTCTGTGGCCGGGGGACACTGGCTTGCCTGTAAGCCTCCTTTGTCAGGGTCTCCCTAGGAATCTCCTGACTGATGCTGACACGAGTCAGACTTTTGCTCATCAGATCCGGAGTCTACCCTAGAGCCTGTCTGGTTCTCATCCTCACTGCTGGGCTGGCCCCAGGGCGTAGGCAAGAACAGAGCAAATATCCCTCCAGGGGTCCTGCAGCAGAGACAGAGGGAGCAGGTTCCAAGGGCTCATGGCATTGTTCCTCCCCCTTTCCAGCCCTCCATCTAGGCTTTCACAAAGATGGACATCGACTGACCAACTGATGTGGGGCCAGTCCCTGTAGCTGTCACAGTGGCCCTCTGGACAGGGCCAGGAGCACAAAGAGGTGGGCTCAGCAGTCAGGAGGACGTGGATTTGGGTCAGCTCTGCCCTCCCGGAGGAGTATGAAGCGGGACAAGTCACTTCACCTTTCTGAGCCTTGCTGTCCACAGGTATAAAACGGGGACGTTCTGAGTAGCCACTGTGTAGCAGTGCTGGAGGATTCAGTGAGGCCAGGACAGCGCCTGGCACACAGGGAATGCTCAACAAAGGTCACTTACGACTTCTCACTTACGTCCCTCTGCCCTGTGAGGACTTGCTGGGTGGGTTCATCTCCTCTCTGGCCATTTTATGATTATGGGGACTGATGAGACAGGAAGCTTTGGCACCAGAGGAGAAGTGAGGAGTGTGGAGAGACAGAGAGAGAGAGAGAGTGTGTGTGTGTGTGTGTGTGTGTGTGAGCATGAGCACACGTGCGTGAGGTGAGTATATGTGTGAGCTGTGTGTGAACGTACACGTGTGTGAGTACACGAGTGCATGGATATATGAATGTGTACGCACACACGGCATTTCTTGGGAAACGTGTGCACATGCACGTAGGAGACTGGGTATAAGTCTGTGTGTGTGTGTGTAGAGTGCACATAACTGTGTGAGTGTGCGCGCACAGGCCCCTTGCACGCTGCTGGAGGGGCTGCTCCGAAGGATGGTGCAAATCCGCCTTTCTGCAGCCTTCTGTGTCCGTGGATTTCTCCCTGGCTCCCCTCAGACCTCGAGTCGCCATCATGCCCCTTCACCTTTGGGGGCACCATAGCTACGGGAGCTCCCCGTTCAGAGTCTGTCTTCCCAGAGCCCACCTGGTGCCTGGCACAAAGAAAGCATCAGCTCGTGCAGTAGATGCAGTGGGTGGATTCCTGAGCAGGAGGCCCCATTCCGGGGGCAGAAGGGCTCACCACAGGGAGCCAAACCCTGGGCTGGGACCCACTTCACGGTCACAGTGCCCAGCAAGGTGTCAGCCCGATGCCTGAGGCCGTGTGGGTGTAACTCTCTCAGACCCCACCAGGCGGAGCCACGTGCCCATCCCCACACCAGGCCCGTCTCAGGCTTCTGGTTTTGAGAACCCACATTTCAGACCAAATCTGCTCAAAGTTCTCCTTGGCAGCTCGGCCTGAGGATGAGGTGCTGGTCTCAGGCTCCTGGGCTAGCTCTGGGCCGGATGATGAGTGGGGCTGCTCAGAGCATGGGGCTGGGACCCCCGCGCCACGGCCATCCTGCTCACTCTTCCACCCCCCACTCCGAGTGGGCCCTGCCCCTGGGCCGAGCTGACCTGAGGAGCCACAGCCTCCCCAGGCTGGGCCAGTGTGGGGCGGTGGGGGCGGGGGTGGCGGCTGGTCCCCGCCCGGAGCCCTGAGCGCCGCCCTGGGAGGGAGACTGAGCTGAGGCCACACTCACCTTTCCAGCCCTGAAGACATCTCTTCACTAAACTCTGAGCTCTCACTACTGCCTGGAAAAGGAACACAGATCAATGAGCGTGGCAGCCTCGCAGGAGAGGGGCCAACCCCAGAGGAGTCTGTTCTCCCGGGTCAGCAGGCCCAGGCCCGAGCTCCGCAGAAGTGCCGAAGACACAGCTCTCTGACCTTGTGGGCATCCGTGTGACTCGGAGTTTTACTGCTGCTACTTCTGACCGGCTCTCCTGGGAGGGGCAAAAGAACTGTCCCCCCCCACTGTTCCCAGGTAGGTCCCCCACTCCCTTCCCACTGCTCCTCCCCCCCACCCTGCCGAAGGCTGCAGCTGCCTGTACACTGGCCCAGCAGGCTCTGCACCCTTGGCCTCTGTCTTGGCCTGGCCTGGCCCTACCACTGCCTCCCTCCTGGCCCAAGTGAAACCTGTGCTAGAACGAGCCTCACCTAGTGAGGACAGGGGCCAAATGAGCACTTCTTCTCCCAAGGGCCAGGACCGTCACAGCGGCGTCCTGGCATGACACGGAAGCCTTGAGGAAGTGGCCCTTCACCTCCCGGCCAGCATACACAAGAGAGTGGCTCCACCTCTCCTGGCTGCCCCTTTGCTCTCCAAGGCCCAGCTCTGGCCACAAGGACACCTGTCACTGCACGCTGCCGAGTTCTCTGTGCTCTCCCTCAGACCTTGCAGGTGCCTCACCTTGGCCTCTGCCAGGGCTGCTTGCTGGCACCAACTCTGGGCAGGGGGAGAGGGGGATGGAGGAGGTCTCAGGCCCCTTGGGAGTCACCAGGTGGCGAGGGCTCCAAACTTGCAGGTGCCTCACCTCGGCCTCTGCCAGGGCTGCTTGCTGGCACCAACTCTGGGCAGGGGGGAGAGGGGGATGGAGGAGGTCTCAGGCCCCTTGGGAGTCACCAGGTGGCAAGGGCTCCAAACAGGGCACATGCACGCAGGGCTTTCAGCTCCATACAGAAAAACGTCTGAGTTTCCCAAGAAGGGGAGCCGAGAACCAAACTGCCTGGTGATCCCCTCTGGATACTGGACAGCATTGTGCCTGACTCAGAAAACCGAGTCAAGGCCTGGGCTCAGGCGCAGCTCAGAAAGTTTCCCGGATGTAAAACAACTGTCCTGCTGCCCAGCTGGAGGCTCTGGGGCTGGCGTTTCCCAGACTGGTTCCTCGGAACCTCCTCCCCATCCCTACCCCATTCTAGGACACTCCAAGGAAAAGGGTTCCATGACCAGACAGGGGGAACCTGCAGACTCTACTGCCTTTTTGGAGATCCAAAATGCCCATCGGCATATTCAAGTCTCTGGGAACAGACCCGCTTACCTTTGCCCAACATACCGACCCCGGAATTCTTCTCCCCAACATACTGACACCTATGAACCACGGGCTGCACTGTCCTGAGCTGTCGTAAACCCCTGACTGGGTCCAATGAGGATGACTTCCTCCCAGGCCAGAAGGCAGACAGAGACCTTGCTTGTCCCAGCCTTTCTGGGGGTGGGAGACAGCTGTTCCCCCCGCCCCCGCACCCAGTGATACTGCCTCAGAGATCGGCCTCATTTCGCAGGGAGCACCCTTCCCCTTCCTCCCACTTCCTCCCGGGGCTCATGGGCCCCCCACCCTGCAGACCTCACCAGATCAAACCCCCGGCCTGGCAACTGCCTAAGCCACCACCAGCCCTGGGAGGGCTCCCTGTTAAGGGAAGCAGACAGACACACGGACACACAGACTACGGAAGCACAGGCACACTGAACGGGCACAGTCAGTGGACAGTGTCCTTGTGTGATGGTAGTAATGACAGGTGACCTGGGCGCTGCAGGGGGACAGGCCTGTGACCACAGCGCAAGAGTGAACTTGGCTCTGACTCAACCTCTCTCCATCCTGACCTCAGCGATTCCGTTTCTCTTCCTTCCACGGACATAAGTACCATTTCTGGCTGAAGCTCAGACATGCAATTTTATCCCTGAAGATCAGTTTTTCATCCTCCCTAACTCTGGCTTCTCAGTGTGAAGACAAATACACAAGAGGGACCCGGTGGCCCGCCCAGCTGCCATCCCCAGGCAGCTCCCCCTCCTTGGCTCTGCACACTGGGGCAGCAACCAGGCTTTGGCAGCGGCCAACCAATGACAGCGGGTCTCAGGTGTGCGTCCGGCGGCTCCTTCCCCCTGCCTGCCGTGCTCGGGGCACCTGGGGAAGCCCTGGAGACCAGGAAGCAGAGGCCCCCCCCCGGCTCTGGCGACCCCTGTAGGGAGCCCTTCCTGAGGGGCGTGGGGGGCCACCGGGCACTGCACAGTGACAGAGACAGACACGGAGCACACACCGGACTGTGGCCCGCCCGCTGTCGTGTGCAGGCCGGAGACGCTTACCTAGGGAGAGTCCATTGGTGACGGCAGAGGAGGAGGTGAGGGCGAGGCCCCTGCGGGGGCTGCGGGACTCTAGGACACTGTCGTCCAGCAGGTGCCTCGCTTTCTCCGATGGGAATGTCGCACTTTTACTCTCAACTACACTCAACTGACACATCATACTGGAAAATGGAAAGGAAGAAAGAAGGCAAAGCTCCTTATCTGTGGAGTAACAGTGACTACACCTGCCCTGGGGTCCTGAGCAGATGGTGCTGCTGAAGGAAAAAGACTTCCACCCAGAACCATGGTAAAAGGGTGGGCTCTGCCCTATCTCATGGCGTGACCTTGGGCAAGTCGCATCCTTTCTCTGAGCCTCAGTTTCTCCATTTGTCAAATAGGGACTAACGACACTTGCCCTGCATCTCTCAGGATGATGACAAGGCTCAAGTGAGCGGACAGTGCTTGTGAACGATGGAGCCACACAAGGGAAGGGGCAGCACGTGACCGTGTAGGCAGCATGCCTGGTTCTGGAGTCACACATCTGGTCCAAATCCTTATTCCAACCTTACTCACCATTGCAAAGTACTTCACCCGACTGAACCTCACAGGACTCCTTCTTACAATGTATTGAATACAGCACCTACCTTGGAGGCCTGCAGGGGCTCAGTGACATAACGCTTGACAGGCACGTGGCAGAGTATCTAACCCAGAGCAAGCCCTAAACACTCAGAGAGCAGCCCTTTTCCCCTCCAGCCTGTGAGTGACTCCAGGGCCAGCCTGAGCTGGCTGAGGCTTGTGTCTTAGCGGTGGAAGGAAGGAAGGGAGAGAGGGAGAGAGGGTAGGAGGGTCGGGAAGAACAGGGGGAGGAGGGATCCAACTGTTCAAGAGTCTGCGCCCAACACCCTGGGGACACAGGCATGGCTGGCCCGGCCATGATGAGGTCCACACGTGCCCCCCAGCTGTCAGTCCCATAAGGCCGGGTGAACCAGCAGCAGGTTCACTGTTCTGCAGGCTTTCCGAAACAACTGGCAAGCAGAGACTCGGAGCCCCAACACTGGCAGGTGCCTTGAGACACTTGGTGATGTCCTGGATGACAGTCATGGTGTCCAGTGGACTCTGGAGTTTTCCATAAGGGAGGCACTAACCGGGCTTGGGTAAACTTTCTGGAATCCCACCACTGCTTCCCTGCGCTTCCCCACATGCTTCCTCCACTGGCTCCTGAACCAGTGACACCCGTCACCAGCACACCTGCAGCAGCCGCCCTCCCTCCAACTCCTCCTGAGCCTGTGCCAGCCTGAGGAGGGACACAGAGAGCACTTATCAGAGGCATAAGGGAGCCCCCCAGCGGACAAGCATCCCCAGTGGCCCTGGAGCCCACGCCCCACACTCAGCCCAGTCTGGAGCCCACAGTAAGGGGTAGGGGGCGCTGCTCAGTCACCCACTTGTTTCCCAGGCTGTGGCTCTTCCTGTGTCTTGGGACAGGGGGCGTGGGGAGGCTGCCAGCAACAGATGCATCAGGACAGGTGGGCCGCCGGCTGAACCTTGCAGAACTGGAGCCAGTGGAGGGGCCTGTGAACAGAGCAGAGAGAGAGTGAGCAATGGTGGGGGCTGGGCTGGGGAGGCTCAGAGGAAGGGGCCCCCGGTGGGGTAAGGCACCAGGCCCAGCTGTTGTAAGCAGGGCAAGGTTCACAGAAGCCTTGTGGCTTTCTACTCATGAGACACTGACCCCTCACTGGCAGGATAACTAGCCTCTGAACTGTCAAAATGGCCGGTGTCCTGCTATGCACGGCGCCCCGACCAGGCAGTGCCACTGGCTAATATGGCGAATGTGCGGATGGAGGTGGGGGGTGCGGGTGGGGGTGGACGTGGGGATTGGCAGCCTAGCCTGGTTTCCCCATAGTAACACTTATCCAGGGCCACCCAGCTGGGTGACAGCATCGAGACGTAACAGTGTGTCTTCTGAGTCCAAGTCCAGTGTCCGGGCCCTGTGTCCCTGTAGCCACTTACTGTTCTCTGCTCACTCAACCAAAGGGGCTGGAGAGCTTCTCAGGCGGAGGCAGTGGATTTACCGAGGTAGGGCATGGCTAGGGAGGCAGGGGCTGAGACTCCAGGCCTATCAGTTACTGCCTGGTGACCTTGGACAGGTTACTTAACTTGATCCCTGAGCCTCAGGTTCCTCATCTGAAAAGTGGGAATAACTCAGCTCACCTTGCAGGTGGTTGGGAGGTCATGAGAGTTTCACAGACGGCACTCCTACTTCTTTGATTCTCATAATTATTACCGTGTCCTCCTCAGCCCTAGTCATGGGATCAACAGGAGGTCATGAGAGCCAGGGGGCTGGGGCCACAAACCGCACTGGGTGCCAAATGCAGAGATGGAGGCAGAATCCTTTGTGTGGCGTGGTCCCGACCACTATTGCACCCTTTTATTTCTGTGGCTTAGGAAGGGAGGTCTTGAAGGGAGGGGACCCTGGCTGCCAGTCTAGCCTTAGCTACTGGGACAGACACTGGAAGTAAGAGCCTGAGCTTCCACACTGGAGCTTGGCCGCTCTCTGCAGAGCACAACATACAGCAAGTCAATGGGCTGCTGCCTAGCCACCTGGGGGAACTTTCCTGGAGGGCCTGCGAGGTCCACCCAGGGCTTCAGATCCTCCACCAGAAGATGCTGTAGATCCACAAGGGACCTCAGGGTTCCCTGTCCTCCAGCATGCCTGGCTCATCTGATTTTCATGTCCTAAATAATGAGCCCTGTGCCCAGCCTGTAGCTGCAGAAAGTCTAGCTCCCTTCTGGCAATCCAGAAGGTTCAGGAGGGGAATGCACACCGTCCGGGGCGCGGACTTCTCCCTCCCTGCTGTTGGCTCACCTCTGCCTCCCGTCCACATCCGGCAGTGCGCACACACCTCCCCTCTCAGATCCCGCACACCCCACCACCAATCCCTCTGGCCTTAAGCCCCTTCTCCACTTCCATGAGGAAACCGTAGCTGCCGGGTCCCGCCTTGCGACTGCTACCCATGGCCCCGTCCACACGGGCCTCCCTGCTGGGCCCGGGGCTTGGGACTTGTCTCCTCCTCAGCTCTACCTGCTCTCTCTGAGAAGTCATGCCTTCACCTCCCCTTCTCTCCCTGGCCCCTTCCCCAGCCTATAAACACACCCTTGTCTCCCCTTCTCTGTGAAGTGGGGTCCCTCGGCCCCGTCTTCCTCCCGGCCAGTCGCAGCCCCTCAGAGGGCTGTGCTCCCCGTAGCTCTGCTTCCCCCTCCACACCCATCCCTCGAGTCACTGAAATCTGGTTTCCATACCCAGTGACATTTCCACTGACCTCCTTTTTGTGAAACTAAGGGACACCCGTTGTCCCTCTCACCAGAGTCTGTGGCATCTGGTGCTAGTGACCAGTCCTTCTCGAAATGCTGTACGTCCTGGGTGTCCATGATGTCTCGCTCTCCTTCCTCTCCCTGTGCCTCTCCATCACTGTTACTCTGTCTCATCCACAAGCCCCTTATCCTCCAACAAGCTCCCACATCGGTGTTTTCTACACAGGCTTCCCTCTTTGGCTCCTGATTTTGGTTTGCTTTTAACTCACTAGATATGCTGAGGACTCTGAAATGTATACTTTTCTGAACCTGAAACCAATATATCCAGGACATTTCCATCTGAACTTCTGTAAGGTACCCTGAGTTCAGCTCAGGGAAGGCTGAACCTGGAACCTCCTCCTGTATTTCCAACTCCGGACACTTAGCCACCTGGCCTGGAAGGGTGGGTTGTCTCGGCTTCTCCTGGACTGTGACTTGCCTCTTCCCTCCTCACCTCCTCTTCGCTTGCCATACACAATTGCCAAGGCCCCAGATTCTGTATATTCCCTTGTACCCATTGCTCATGGCACTGCCTGGTCTGAGTCCCCATACCTTATCTTCTACCCCCAGTCTGAGCCTCTGAAATCCAACCCCCACACGGCTTCGCGAGTGTCTGAAAAAATGACAAGGTGGGCACGCCATTTTCTTGCTTGAAACTGCGAATGGCATGGTGTGCATACACTGCCTGACCTGACTATTTGAGCTGATCTTAAAATCCTAATGGAAGAAAAAAGGGACGAAGTAGCCAAAACAGTTCTTATGAATAGTAGAGGCCTCGCCCTACCAGGTATCAGAACCAAACACCAAACAATAGTGATTCACATAGTCTGGTCTTGGGGCAGGGATAGAGAAAGAGTTCAGTCAATCAGAAGGGAGAGCTCAGATTTGCTTCGTCGTGGTGGTGGAATTACACATCAGTGGGGAACGGAGGGTCTTTGCAGTATATGGCACTAGAACCACTGGGCTCCATGCGGAGAAAGATGAAATTAGAGTCCCCCACCGTATATTACACAAATGGATTCACATCACGAATGTGAAAAGCAAAAATGCGAAACTACTGGGAAAAAAATAAGGCAAGCTTTATGACCTTGGGGGAAGAAACGAAAAGCATAAACCCTAAAGGACAAAAAAATTGAATACAGGGGCGCCTGGCCGGCTCAGTCAGTTCAGCGTCTGCCTTCAGCTCAGGTCATAATCTCAGAGACCTTGCATCAACCCCACATTGGGCTCCCTGCTCAGCGGGGAGTCTGCTTCTCCCTCTCCCTCTCCCCCTCCCTCTGCTAGCACTCTCTCTCTCTCAAATAAATAAATAAATACAATCTTAAAAAAAATTGAATACATTTGATTGCATTAAAATAAAACATTTCTGCACCAAAACAAACAAATAAAAGACAGCAAAAACGATGTTAAAAGGCAAGTTGTAGTCTGGGAGAAGAGATCTGTCACCATATCACCGGCAAAGCATTTGCGTTGAGATGCATAAAGAATTTCAACTATCAGTAAAGGGAGACAAACCACACAGAGAAAATGGGTAAAGGACTCAAATGGGAAATTCACAAAAGAGGAACCCCACATGACCAATCACTACAGGGAAATATGCTTAACCTCACTGGGGTAACGGGAATGCAAATTATATAGTAAAAGTGAGAAAAAACACTCTTACCTTATTAGATTGTAAAAAATTAATCGGCCTGACAATATCAAGTATTGGCTAGGGTGGGAAAGGATGGGAATGCTGGCTCAGGGGAGTGTCCAATATTTGGAAAACAAGTAGCAACGGCGGTTAAAGGTGAAGATACCATGCCTCTGTGGGCAGGTGATTCCAATTCTAGGAATCCACCCTCAGAAAACTCCTACAGACATGCACAAGGAGATACGTGTACAAGGATGTTCAGTGTAGCACTGTGTGTAACAGCAAAAAAGTGGAAACAGTCTACATGCCCCTCAGGAGGGAAATAGATGAATCAGCTGTGGTCTATTTATCCAACAAATCCTACAGAGCAAAAAAAACAGTGAAGAAACTGGATTTATAGGTATCGATACAAATTAAATCCTAGAAGCATATGCTGAGTGTAAAGTGTAAGGTGCCAAAGGATGTTTATTTTGAGGCATGATGCCATTTTTGTAAACATTTTAAAACATGCAAAACAAGAGTATATATGTTTGTACATGAGTAGATATGCAGTAAAATATGAGAACCTGCACAGGAGTAACATAAAGCGGTCCCAGGAGAGTAAATACCTCTACAGGGAAGAAAGGAAGGGTGGGGTAAGAGGGACTTTTGCTCTATCTGTAACGTTATATTACTTAAAAAAATATAAAACAAATATGGCAAAATGTTAGTTTGTGTTAAATATGGATGGTGGGTACCATGGGTAGTCTCTATGTGTTCAATATTTCATTATTTAAAATGAGAATACTTTAAAAACACGTGGAAGCCTACTGTGTACCAGGGGCTGTGCTGGAATCTTCTGTTTGCCCCCCAGATTTGTCCTGCACCCTTTTCCACCCTGTGCTATGAACTGGGAGCTGCACTATGGGGCCTGGGTCAGTGGGCTCCCTTCCCTCTAGCTCCTTGTTGGGTCAGGTCAATGGGGAGCCCTAGCCAGAAACTGGGGAGGAAGGAGAGAGTCTGTGGTACCATCTCCTCCAGACTTTCCTTCGGAGTCACCCAGAGAGGCAGTAGTCTTCCCCAAGTCCTCTCTACTCTGGTTTTTGTAACCTCTGCCTCCCTGCACTCCTGTTCCAGCCCTGGGGTGCTGTGCTGCTGTCCTTGGCAGTCCTTATACCCTGCCTGCGACTTTATAAATAGTCCCTTTCTGGAACTCTCCTGCAATCACCCCACTGGGCTGTGCCATCTGTGTCATGCTGCGGCCCTGCAGCGCCTTCACACTTAACCCACACAACACCCCTCTGAGATCCAGGTTATTAGCCTTAATTCACAAATGGGGAGGCAGCAGCTCAAGAGCTTAAGCTTCAAGGTCAGGAGCTGGTTGGCAATGTCATCTAGGCATTGTGAATCCATGGAGTAGACACCTGGGACCACCCACCCAACACCTCCTCCAGGAATCCCCCTTCCGACCCCGGATGGGCTCACAGGGGAGCCAATGCCAGACCAATGTGGCCTTGCTCCTGGCCCCGGACAGGGACAGACACCTTCCACAGGATTTTCAGATTTGAGCCTAGAACACGTTTGAGGACATGTACTTCAGCTTAGCGTC